CTCGAAATCCAAGGGAAGAAACTTCCCCCTGTCAGTCAGCGAACGCTACCGCCGAGCGAGCGTCGTCAGTGTCTTAACAGTTTTTGCATGGGAATTGTATAGGACGATGTTAAGCCTTGGCAGGATAGCTTACATAAGGCCGACAATTCCGAGCACCGAGGTGCTAGAACCGAGCCCCTCCGAGTGATGCTTTCCACTTTTATGGCAGTCAGATGTGGGGCATCTGATAAGATTAGATCGGCCCTTCCCCTCTCAAAGGTCCCCATTCTTGACTCACACGACAGGGATTAAGATCAGATAAAAATTTTGTTCACTAGCACCCACCTCAGCTGCAACCCACAAGCCGACCGAACATGGGGATGAGCCGACGCAAGACGCGTTGTTCCCACCATCTTTACCTAAAATGAACAAGGCCTTCATCTTCCATCATCCACGCAGATGTTCACGGCGATCCACGATCACGAGAATTCCCCCGACCGTCCCTCTCTTTCTCTCTGCCTGCTGGCCCTACTTTTACAAGTTCGTTCACCACGACAGACAGCAGCAAGACACGACCTTGACGCAGCAAAAGACGCGACGAAAATGCGGCTTGGCTAGGCTCAGCAAAGTCAATCTGTACTTGACGATCGATGTCTCGTGACACACACCATTGAGCGGTAAAGGGGGCCGTCAATGCCACGCGAGTCACCGTTGCATCCTCCCAAAAAATGCCTCTAATGTCGTCAGAACGTTTCCAGGAATACCTGCTCTATCCGTACTGGCGGACCATGCAGAAATCAGGGCTGTGCCACACCGACTGCCACTAGTCCTGCCGACGAGCCCGGTCTTCGCGATGGGCGTTCTCCATCAATGGATCTTTTTTGTCATTCAATCCCTCGGGAATGCCTTGGCGCCAACCTCTTTCATCAGGTCGAAATATCCGGTTCAAGGTTGTCTGCACTGTGCACTGCAAGCCTGCATCACAACGAGGGATATTCGAACCTGAAGAAGACAGACTCTGGACGTGAATGGGGGAGACGACGAACGAGATCGACAGGTCACAAAACACTAAATCTGTCAAACATGACAACTTGACAAGCATGGAAGTTGCTGGCAACAACACATCTCAACGGGGAAAGTGTCAAACAGTGGTCTCCCCAGCTCCAACGGACAACGTTGTTGTCGGGTCCCGAATCCCGAACCCTTCCATCCATTCTGGCCATTCTGGTGGGATGTCCCCAATTCTGAACTTTTGAGGATTCTTTCCTGTCCAAGACATGGGACTGGGGCCAGCCATGCGGGCCAGTCGTTAATCACTTGTGGAGAAAAGTCTTCCCAGCTGCAACGAGTCGAGGCCATTCACGTTCCCTTGCAGATTGGGGACCCCATCCGCTCCAGTCGACACGAACGGACACCCCACACCAAAAGGCCCAGAAACCTTTTTGCAGACCTGCGGACTCTGCACTACATCGCGCGATCGTCCACGCAGCGGCGGCTACGCAACCGCAACCTTCAATCCTCGCGGCGATTTTTCTTCAACCCACAAGTATTTTCTTATCAGATCAAGACATCCCTGTCACCACGGATCATCGCTCCGAGATCGGTGCATGGGCCGACGTGAGCTAATGTGCCACATGGAGGCGTTCAAGCGTTTCAAGGAGATCGACGTCAAACACTGCACAGAATGCTTGCTTAACTGCGCGACACACAGCCGCCATGGCCCCGGTGTATTGTAGCACGCTGAGACGTGAACCGGGGCGGATGCGAGCCCGTGGCGATTGTTTAGTTTCTTCTGCTTCTCGTCACGAAGAGTCGTGGCTTTTTCGCAAAATAAACCACCCGATCGTTGGGATTTCTTTCTTTGAGGTTGCCGATTGATGATTGCGATGCAGTAACGGTGTTTGGCGGACTTTGTACGATGCTTCTCTCTTTCTTTACTCTGACCGGATTGCTGGCGATCGTCGGAGCCTTTCACATCCCTGGCAGGGGCTTCGATCGGTTTATTTCCATCTGGCTGGAAAACCAGGCGCGTCTGCCCACATCCCTTGATGGCCTACCCCATTCGCTAACGTTGGTTACTCGACAGGATTTCGCCAAAGTCGTTAAAGATTCCCACATTGCTGATCTCAAGAAGGACGGGATTTTGCTCACCAATTACTACGCGCATACCCACCCCAGTCAGGCCAACTACATTGCAGCTCTTGCTGGAGACTACTTTGGCCTGAACCATGACGAACCGGTCCGACTGCCGTTAAACATATCAACCATCGTGGACCTTCTCGACTGGAGGGGTTTGTCATGGAAGGCGTACATGGAAGACATCCCTGGTCCAGGTTACTTGGCTGCTGCCAGCGACGGCCAAACGGGTGATGGAAAGTGGGACTATGTACGGAAACACAAGTTGGTTTGCCCAGGGTCCTGCTGGATCCGCCGATGCTAATATCGTATCAGCCCCTTCGTGTCATTTGACTCCATCAACCTGAACGGATCCCGCCTGCTCAATATCGAAGGGTTTGACGACTTCAAGACCGACTTCGAGAAGAAGAAGGTGCCTCAATGGGTATTCATGTCTCCCAACCAAATGAACGATGGCCACAATACGTCTCTGGAGTATGCCACAAAATGGGCACAGGATTTCCTGAAGCCAATGTTAGCCCCGGGCGCCTTCAAAGAGCGCACGCTCATCCAACTCACCTACGACGAGTCTGACGATCACGGAAAACCAAACAAGATTGCGTCACTACTCTTGGGCAGCGCACTCCCCCAAGACAGGAGAGGGACGGAAGACAAGACCTTCTATACACACTACTCAATGTTATCAACAGTCCAGTTCAACTGGGAGACGCCAAATCTGGGCCGGTACGACGTTGGGGCCAATATCTTTCAGTTCGTGCAAGACCTCGGTAGCAGAGTGCTTGTACCGAACAAAGATCCACCCAATATGGCCTCCGTGAACAATTCGGAATCGTACTTTGGACCACTTAATGGGGATGCGAGCAAGTTCCGTCCCTACCCACCCCCGAATCTTGCTCTCAATGGCTCCAGTGGACTTCCAATTCTGGAGCACACTCGTCTACAATGGGTCTTCCACAACCAGCCGACTCCATACGACGGGAATGGTACTCTTTACGATGCCAATTCCCAACCTCAGTACATCCCGCAAGCCGTCCAATAAACTTGGTCGGATGCCAGGCCGAAGCTCATCCCACGGGCTCGCATATGGGATTGTCCAAGGAACGGCCGCAATATCATATGGGACGCACGCAAGGTTGAGACGTCTTGCCTGATTCGAAAGAATTCGAGTCCGTCATCTTCCACCCCCATGGGCGCTACCAACCAGATTAACGTTGCGAGAAAACGATCTTTCGATCCACGTTGATACAGCTCGATATCTCGAACATAAACGCACGATGTGCTCTGCGATTTGAGCTACTCGGCCATCTGATAATGACAGACGTTCCCAGCTTATCATAAAGATGCTGGACGATCTCCCGAGGTCCATTAAAGAATCTTTGCGCGGGATACCCCAGACGGTCAGCGGATGGCTATTTTAGAGCAAGCCACCGGATGGTCCTCAAGCATAAAGTGCGGGAGTCGACACCGATGAAATCAATGAAGTCGATGTCTGGGATGCACTTGGTGCATGTGGTACTCTCCAGAGATACCGAGCTGGCAGTCGGCGCTCTAGTGTCCCGGGTCGATGATGATGATGGGGAAGCAGATTTTGATTGTCGACAACTCAGAGTTTGGAAATGCTAGTCCGTTTGCGTCACGCCTTTCGGAGGCTGGTTGGCCGACGGTAGGCTTGAGACATCTTTCAAGCTTGGGAATGTGATTGTTTGGAACACCTCGACAGCCTCCGCCACAGTCCTGCTTTTCGGCGGTCCCATATTGCCCACGTTATACCATTTTGCCCATGTTACACAGCCGGGCTTGTCGCCAACGGCGTCATGGCCTGCGCCTCGCGGCATTTGAGCAGCAAATTTCAACGGCGAGACGAAAGGATGGCGGGCATATGTAGTCGCAATCAATCTATTCCATTTTACTATCGATCCAGATCGATCTGGCTTGTCGCCTTGCCTGAAGCGCGAGAAGAAGGCATTTCATTGTAGTCCGTACCTGCTCAGATGCCAGCTCGAAAGACCCGTCAGCGAACTGTGTCGACGGACCAGCCTCCGGAAGATGCGGAACGTCCGGCAAAGAGAATGTCTTGATCTCGCGGTCCGTCTTAAGATGGACTAAGAGCTGGTCAATCCGTAGCAATTTCGGTAGACGGGAGATGCACACTACCCGCAGCATCGCCCTTCTCATGAGTCGTCTATAATCCTGAGACGATCGATGGAGACATGGTCAGAGAACAACGGGAAGCGGGAATTGATTCGGCACAGAAGCGGAATCGGAACGGATGGACTCGCAAGAAGTGAGCCAATGGGAAAAGCTCCCGTGTCTTCATATGACTCAAGGTTATTTGAAGCGTCAAAACAGTAGCCTGATTTAGATGGATTCCTCATCTAGAAGATGCTTCTGAATCGTGGTAGTTCTTCTAGACGCAGGCCGAGCACAAGACTACCATCGTGAACTATGTTGACGTGCTCATTCAATCGTGCCTACTTTCTTAACATCCAAACTGATTCAGTCTGCCCAATCGCGCCGACTCGCCCACCCATGCCAACAAAGTTCTACGCCAGCCACCCGCTGAGCCATCAATGATGCGACTTGCAGAGCATAATACCATCTTAGCGTTCTCCAGGTAGAGCCGTCCTCGCGCTTGCGTACTAGCGCCAGGAGTTGGAGGGAGCGGCGCATCACTAACAACACGAGGGAATCTAGTCCCTGATCCGTCGTGGAATGTCTATGGAATGAATATGCCGGGTTTTACGCACGAAATTTTACTTCCCTCCATATTGTTGAAGGCCGATTCTTGCGCCCGGTGGCTGCCATTGAGCCACCGCCAGACACGCCCAAATCCCCCGCTCTCGAAGCATTTCGACGTCACCACGGGAAACCCTCAAGGTGGTAGTCTAGTTTGAACCGTATGCTACGAGAAGTGCCGGGCCTGCAGATCCCCCGCAGGCAGAGAGACATGCATGTAGCCGTGGGGCGTGGATGCCGACACAGTTCTGGGAGAGACATTTCCTCCCCTCATCAAGAGATAGTTGACGATCACGCGTCGGCACAACCGAAGCACAAAAAGAAGCGTTACCCGCAACGGGCATGCTGCTATTTGACTTGCTGACGGGCACTTTTGGCACGTTGGAAGCCGTCTCTGTACCACTGTTTCGTATCCAGCTTGCCATCGTGTAACAAAAGCCTCCCGTTGGACTCAAGAAGGGAAGCCAATTACCCAATATACCAACTATTGGCGGGTGCCGCCTGAACATCCCGACAGACTGCGCGATGCTCGATCATATGTCAGTGCCGTGTCCACTCTTGCGCTAGCAATTTCGCCTGGCGTTGCGCTGGTCTCTGGTTCTCCCGTGCTAGATGCATCTGAAAGTCTGAGAATGATGGCCGATGCCAGTCTGCCTGGCTTGGCCCTGGGATCTCCTTTGGCCGAGACTCTTGTATCCCTGCATGGATCGACGCTGCATTTTGATTACATACACCATCCCGAGGCACGGACATACACTCAAGGAAGGCCTTCTCAAATGCCGCGATTGTTCATCCTTTGTTCCTTCGGGTGGGGAGGCACGGGAGGGCATTGCACAAAGAAGTTTAGGAAGCTTTTCGCAAGTGGGAGTGGGGATATAGGTAAGGCTCATGATTCGAGGCACCGCGTTTTCTTCTCTAGCCTCATGGTGTTGTCCGTGTTGTGCTGAGGTTTCTCCGCAAATTCGATGAAACTCAGCAAGCCTGCCGTGCAAAAAGGCAAACATGATCAGTACAGCCACAGAGCACAATGGCTTGGGCTCTCTTCAGGTCGGCGAGCATCATTACTTTTTGTAGTGGCTTTTAGAGAGACAGGGGGGAGGGGTAGTCTCATCCCACCGGCTGGCTTTTCATCTTTGCGGCAAGCTCATGTTCCTGATCCTGCTCCTCCACGGCAAGACCATGATGGCGATGGGTGGAAAGCCCCCGAGAGTCCCAGAGGAGCATTCCTGACCTCCGGTACCACGGGACCTGCACAAAACCGTCGCGCCCGGAACAACCTCAAGCAAATCACCACCAAACGCATGGACGCAGGACCCATTGCCACGAGGTCCGATTGTCTCTCCCGTCGATCCCTGGCTCCGCAACCACAGACTGGGCTCATCGACCAGTTACACCCGCACGAAAAAGGGTATCACAGACTTTTCCCTGAAGGTTCGACGGGAAGAGACCCCTGATCCATGACACAGCTGCATCTTTCCAGTTCCTCCATGCGCGTGTGAAGGCTTCATCTGCGTAAGGATGCTGGGGGGTTCTTAGAATGGGTTGTTGGAGAACGGCTTCGCGGAGCCAAGTAAAGTAGGCTGGCTATCTATGTACTGGTTTTGTTATTGACTCTCGAACCCGTTACCCGTACCCTCCTCCCCGGCCGGACTGTCTTGGTTTACCTAGATGGGCTTACTTCACTAGGAGTTAATAGGCCAGGAACTAATCAGCACACTAAGACCGGATGTGCCCAACTAACCTTAGAGTTTGCCCTTGTCATTGGCTTTTTTTTCCCGGCAGCTTCCCCTGAAGTGGTGCCTGCTCGGACGGCAGCCCATGCATCCGCTGCCTTATATCGTAGATGTCCTTCCCACGTTGGCCGGCCGGCAATCGTCCTAGTTGATATGACAAACGTCTGTGGTTGTCCGTCAAACCATTTGAGGCAGATTCGTCCTGGTCACGACGATCACTTTTCTGTCTCTTTCCGTCTTTCCCTTCTCTACCGCCCTCTCGGACACCATCACCAGCATCATTCGCCATGAGACATTCATTACTGCTCGGCGTCGCAGTCGCCTTCCTTGGTGCTGTGCAAGGTTCTCTGTTGGAGTTCGCGGCCAAGTTGCCCCCATGTGGGGTGGGTTTTCCCCCTTCCATTGCTCAGATTTATGAGACCTGGCTGACATCATTCCCATCATCTAGCTGGAGTGTACACTCGAAAAGTTACCACTATCGGCGTGTAAGGTTGCGACAAACGATACTTGCATATGCAGTGATTACGACCTGCGGATGAGCATGCAAACATGTCTCGTCCAGCGGTGCAAGAAGCTAGAAGCCATAGGTAAGGCTTTCCTATCAACTAATCACAGATGCAGAAGATGAACTGACAGCGAACACAGACGTTGCAAGGATAGAAGCTGAAGCATGCCAACGTCCGGTTCGTGAGCGAAAGGTGGACATCATGGTACCACTCATCCTTCAGATTACCGGGATACTGGTGGTCCCGTTACGGTTATACGCGAGGTGGACGACGATGCATCGATTCGAGGCCGACGACTGGATCATGATGTTTTGCGGCGTACGTTGCATCGATCATGAATATTGAGTGGGCATATTCTGACAGACTATAGGCTATGTTTGTCGTTTTTGTCGTCGTCGGACAGCTTGGTAAGTCTAGCATTTGTTCGATCCTATGGTCCTTACTAACAGCCACACAGCCGGTCACGTTGCCTTTGGAGAAGACGTCTGGATGGTCGAGCCAGATGAACTCACCCTAGGATTAAAGGTTAGAGGGAAAATCACATACGAATGATACATCAGATACTAACCTTTGCAGCTCTTCTTCATCGACGAAAGCATGTACCTCGCCTGCCTAGGCCTAACCAAGATCTCAGTACTCTTCTTCTACCTCAGGATCTTTCCGAACAAGTCCTTCCGATGGGCAACGTACGCGACCATGACATTCATCATAATATCGACCACGGTGATTCTCTTCATGCAGATCTTCCAGTGCATCCCCTTGGATTTCAACTGGGTTGGCTGGAAAGGAGATTACGGTCCGCACCACTGTCTGAACATCAACACACTAGTTTTTGTGGCTGCCGGGCTGAGCATCAGCCACGACCTCATTATTCTCGCCTTGCCTCTTCCGCTGCTGTGGCACCTCAACACTTCGAAGCGCTCCAAGATAGGCATCCTGTTCATGTTCAGTCTCGGCATCTTCGTCCTCATCACCTCATGCATCCGGCTCCGCTACATCGTCTCGTTTACGCAATCACTCAACCCGACGTGGGACTTCACGGACCCCCTCATCTGGTCCGGTCTCGAGGCTTCCGTCTCCATGATTGTCGTGTGTCTCCCCGCGCTCCGGATTTTGCTGAAGCGCGGCTGGCCCAAGCTGTTCAGCACGATTGGCACCGCGGGGCCCCACTCGGCGCCGAAGAAAAGTTCCAACACGTCATCTCGGAAGGCGTACGCCATGAAGGCGGCCGAAGATGGCGATGGAGACGGAGAAGGAAACTACAACGCGATGAACGAAAGGGACGAAGAGGTCGCCGACGCAGAGTACGCCGCGAGCGAAGCGAGGGCCGCGAGGAGGATGGCTGAGAAGAGGAGCAAGTTCTTCTCGTTTCGGTCGACGACCGTGGAACCGAACGAGAGCGAGATCGAGCTGGAGTTGGGCGACAAGATGCGGGGCGAGGTCAGGACGCAGATCAGGTGCCATGATGGGGAGTCTGCTTCGAGGGGGAGCTCTATTGAATCTGGGATTCATGTGAGGACGACGACAACTATCCACGACGCGAATGGGAAGACATTCTGAGACGTCAGATGGGATGGACGATTACGCATACACGAGCAGGTCTAGGGGATTCGATTTTTTTGCATTGTTTTCGCTCTGAAAACTACAGTACTTAGGAGACGGATGATACCATTGCATCGCAAGGCGTTGGATTTACTCAAGGGGGATTCTCTACAGGAAAACATGTATGGATATAGTGAAAAAGTAATATCATGTTTAACTATCAGTATACCTGAATGGCTTCTAAGACGAGCAGATTTTGATCGATTGTAACAAGATAGATGTCTTAAGGGCAACAAAATAAGGTGTATCGAGCGAAGACCGACTCGAATCCGACGATCAGACGACGATTTACTTGCCAAGAAAGGCGTTCGTTCATCCGGGGTCTCCCATAGTCCACAACTAGGGCTTGTTTCATCATTTCAACGTCTCTCTGAACACCGCGTGGGCCGCTGACAAGGATGAATCTGGTGTAAAGTACGTGTACATAAAATAGCTCATAACGTGCCCGAAGATTCTCGTCCCAATAATGGCCTGATTCCATCAAGGTTTCGTAAGAGGGGATGGGGATTGGTCGATAAGTTAGGGAATGATCCGGCTCCGCGTGCGATTTTTGGCCGTTCGGCGGAGTGACTTATGATCGGGGGGAGAAGGCGGGGAGAAAGATGCAGAGAAGAAGTTTGTTTGTCATTGCCGTTGAACAAGCATGTTTTCTGCGTCTCATATGTCCCGTCATATGAGACGCCAGAGGTATCTTGAAGGGCTCGGCTTGGAGGGATGGGGTGGTGTGTCGTTGGGGAGCCCAGCTTATCTTACGGCACTGCAGACTGATCGTTGCGTAGTAACAGAGCAATTCTTGGTTTGAGAGCAGCTGCACGATGATCACTGCAACATCACGAATTGACGGGTCAACCGCTGAGATGAGCAAGTTTGGCTCAGCTTTGTGGCACCTTTGTGACCATCTCTTCCCATGTTAGTCGGATACTTGGTGACTTTCCCTAGATTCGACAATGAAGTGATGTGAGTATAATGTTCATGATCTACGCAGATAGATGATCCGTAATGTCAATCAGAAAAGGGAGTGAGAGATTGACCCCCTCACCTCGGGCCAACGCCGTTGCAATAATCCCAACGACTGTGAACGTTCTATTCTCAAGTCTCCACTGTTCGATTTGAATTAGGGCGAATCATCGGTAGTCTTGATGAACTGAGGCTATTGAATGATCTTCGGTCCAGGAAAACACATTTTGGTTGCGTGCAGGCGTGGACCGACTTTTTGTTGAGCCCCTCGGTCACAAGTATCTAATTGAGAGTATGGCTCGACAGTTGAGGATAAGGTACCCTAGTCACATCGTTGGTATGGTAGTGACGGGTTGAGGCACCTTCTGATACTAGAAAGATCCCATAGTGATCATGCTAAGCCGCGGTCCCTCTTGATACCCCATTGATGTGCACGACAGAGCTCATAGAGTACGTTCAAGATGGGTGTTGCTACAGATCGCTTGTGTGCTTCTCGGCAGATTTCACCAAGGATATTTTCGTGCTCAATCAGGTTTCCCTGGAGAGTATCAGTGAATACAGCCGTACCAAGTCAAGCTCATGGGTGGAGGGGAAAGTGGAGGAGTCATACCTTATCAAAATCAACTTGCATGCTGGGTTCGATATTCTCATCGATTGGATTCATCTCTATAGCCTGTGTCATGGCACTTGACGGGATATTGTGGCCTGTAGCAGCAGCTACTGCGATTACTTCTTTCATGGCCGGTACGACCAAAGAGTTCATGGAAGCATCCGCCGTCCGTAGCTGGCTAGCGTTCACCCTCGTTAAAGCACAGATGGGGTTGAACGAAGCATTGTAGACGAGTTTGATCCACCGGTCGGAATCGACGTCTGGCTTATAGAGGCATGTCGTCTGACCTCCGGCACTATACATCTCAATGAAGCGTCTGGCGGCGTGTTGCTGTTCTTCCAGGTCGATGTTGGGGTTGCGAAAAGCGCCGATGTGGAGGAGATCGGGCTGCTTCTGTTCGACGACGCCTGGTAAATGCTCGTGCGCGTCGATGCGGCTTACTCCAGAGAGAACAATGGTTGTAGGGAAGCGACTGAAGAAGGGTAGTTGAATATTGATGCCGTTTTGGATGAGTACGATGACCGTCCGGCCTGGAACGACGGCTGGAGCGATGATGTCTGGCAGGCTTGGACCGGCGTCTGGGACGTTCTTGGTGCAGCAAACGACGTAGTCAAAAACGCTATCAGAGCCCGAGTTTGTTGATGCCGGGACGCTTTTCAAGACTAAGGGGACCGCGACTACCATGAGCGACATGGTGAGAAGAAAACCAGGTTAGTGGAACTGACCTTCGGTAGGCCGCCAACCTTCTTTGTCGCCGTGTTCGCAAGACTTCATTGTAAATCCATTGCGCTTCACGACATCGAAGTTGGAGCGGAGGACTGCGGAGACCCGAGCCAATCCTCCGGCTTCGAGGTTGAGAGCGGCGATTGTGCCGATGCCTCCACACCCGACAAGGAGGACGCGCGCTTTGTCGGATGTCATCTTGAAGACCGTGATCCTGCATGTGCCTGAAGGCTGTTCCAAAGTTTCTTGAGAAGAATCTGTGAATGAATCATTCTCCTGGGCGACCGCCAGGCAATATCATCCCTGGCAGCAACGGCACATTCGAACGGGGCTAGATCCGGGGCTGGACCGGCTTTTGGCTGACTGTTACCCCGCACCCCACCATATAGACCCACAATCAGGCCCGGACCGGCTCCAAGCCGCTCGGCGGCTTCATCAGAGGCGCATGGGCTTCTTCTGCATATCACTTCTCTCGTGACGGCAGTATGATCTTAGAAAGACATGCAGCCTGCTATGCTATGTACTATCGTTTCTTCATACTCGATCGAACACCTCCGCCATCGTGAAGCCTGCGATGCGATATACTATTGGCCGCAAGTGCAATCTTCCAAGGACCCAGGGGCTTTTCAGGCTATGTGACGACTATATTCATCACGAGTCGCCGTTGTTACTCTGATGCGAGTCCGGATCATTGCCTCTCAGCCTCTACTTGAGACAGTGATACCTTTCCGAGCGGTGAAGCCGGTGACGTGGCCCACAAACTCGGAACACCATGCTTTCTTGAGGTTCCGAGAGCGAGGCACAAAATCAGTGTTCGTGTCTGAGTGCTGTTCTGAAACCTATGAACGTGTTCAGTCCATTCCAGCGCCCCTGTCGTCGGCCATCCCACAAGACCAGATAGTTTGACAGCTGTCAGGGCGACGGCACCACTTCCTTCTCTTTCTCTCGGTTCCAAGTTATCGGTCCAAACTTGACGTTGCATTGGGTCATCGCTGCTTCTTCAAAAGAAGAAAATCCTGAAGCCCAAGTCCGTGGGGGACCATGCACATTTACAGCTGACGCAAGGCGTAGAAGTGAACACCGAACCACATCTGCAAAGGACAAGGATCGCACAGACCATTTGCCGCAATTTTGTTGGTTCCTGGCCGTTGGTTTCAATGTTTCTTCTTCCAACTCAACGACCAACCTCACAGGCCCCTTTTCCTAACACCTACGGTTATTCCCCCCGAGTCTCCCGCACTCACCCCAATTCTCTCGACCGGAGCATTTCGATTTCGATTTCTAAGCTTCCTTGCAAACCTAGTGTGCGGTCTAGAATCCAGGAACCCAGGAACCCGCAGAGGAACAAACCTTGGCCCATCGCAGCAATACCAATAAGCGCATCTACTCATCGGAACTCTCTTTTGAACCGCACGCCAAGTCCGTCTCCCACTTACCGGCACCCAATCAGGAATTCGAAGCAATGGCACGCCAGGGCAATGTAAAAACGGCCTCCTCAGGCTCGGCCGCGGCGATGGGCTCATCCTCCACGGATCCCACGTCCGCACCCTCCCCGCGCGACCGCATTATGACGCACATGAACCGCGACCACCAGCGCGAGCTCTCCCTTTACCTGCGCCACTACGCTGGCCTCAGCCGCTCCGCCGCCTCGTCGCCGTGGCTCAAGGACTGCACCTTCGAAGGCATGACCATCGCGGCTGGCGGGCTCGGCGGCAAGGAGTTCTTCATCGAATTCAAGCCGGCCCTCACGGCGTGGGAGGACGTGCGGCCCGCCGTCGTGGAGATGGCGCGCGCGTCGCAGCAGGCGCTGGGGTACAGCGACATCACCGTCGGGCACTTTGCGCCGCCGCAGGGCTTTGACGTGGTTGTGTTTGGGGCCGTTGCGTTCTACTTTGTCTGCTGGCTCACGCTTGGGTTTGTGCTGCCCGGCACGCCGATCTGGTCCTTCCTCCAGACCGCGTTCCCCGGCGGCCCAAGGTTCTATCGGTGGTTGGTCAAGGCCATATTTCTGCCCGTCTTGGGAATCCACCTGAGCGAGTGCTATTGGTTCCACCGCACGAGGCTTCACAGGCACGGCATCGAGTTTGGAACGGGCTTGTGGTGGACGTGGATCGGAAGTCTGTTCTTTGAGGGACTTCCTGGCTTCTGGAGGTTCGATGGCATTGTCGCGGCCAAGAGGCAGGAGAAGGAGAGCAAGAGCCACTGAGTTTCTTTGGAGAATCATATGGATCAGGCTTTTCTGAGGCGACGATAGATCCTCCGGATGCGATGAGAGAGCTTCATACGGCGCTCGACTCGCAAGATGATGAGAGCGGTCGACATAGCAAATCGGCATGACCGCTAGCAGTGTTTCGCGATCCGGATCCTCCCTCTTCAACAGTTGCGGTCGGCAGTAGATCCATGAGAATTGGCAGGGTGAGCGGTGGAAGAAAGGACGTTCTATGTCGGATTCAGCTATCTCTATTGACGAGCGTAATGTTAATTGATGAGGAACCCCCAAAGACCCTTGGGTATTACGAAGCGAGAAATCATCGGAGAGGCATATATTTCCGGACACAATCTATTCCTTGTCAAGTTATCGTGTTTGCACAAACATGGCGGCTGTGAAGGTGTAAAGATGACGTGGAATTGCTTCTTGCTTTCCGATAAGATGGAATTGTTGAGTGGCACAGTTGGGACAAATTAATGATGATTGCTCAAGAGCTGATCTCATATTGAAACTCATGATGAATGATGAGATCGGATAAGGCACGTTGAGATTTAAGGGCCGAAATGAGAAGGACCGCACCGACGAGTGAGCTGTTTGCTCTTTCCACACCATTTCGCCCTTGCTTAGCATGGTAGACCCACTCTGGCCGGCACCAAGGTATGTACCTGAGGTTGCCTTCCCCGCGATCCCATCGTGGACCTCCCTTCCGTCCACCGTCCACATATTCGTTGCCGATATCCTGTCGCCTTCAGCATCACTGCGCTCAAAAGCGTTGCACAATGCCACCGTATATGCGGACACCATGTCGATCAACGCTAGCTGATGCCACGTCGTCCGTATTCTAGAATGCACTACTTGCCGTCCTCCGAAGAGATGGCAGCGCCTTATTGAAAACCTCGGAAAGCCTTACCGCCCAGCTGTCTTCTGATAGCCCCGCCGTGCACTTCTACGAAACAAACAACTCCATTTCTGGGCGTTGAAGAAGTTCTCTTCGATAATATCTCACTTTCCTAATCGGACGTTTGTTGCGAGTTATAATGGTGGCTGCGGCAAACCTCTCCGCAAGATTAGCGACCTTCAACAATGCTACGCTTCCGAACCATCGGCCTGTTTGCCTCCAGCAACAAAGCATCCCCGGATCTGGCTTCACCTTCCTAATAGCAAACACCACTTACAAGCTGTCCAATCGCAACTTGTATGCATATATCTTGGCACTACCAAATATCTTCTCCACGATCGCCTGCAGACCGCCAACCGGGGCCTCGGCCTACAAGATCGACATGGTCGAGCTTTCGCGACCAGGGGTGTGACATACGATCAACTCTCGACTACGTACTGTCACTGTCAACACCACCATCATCGGGAACCTGTGCACAAATTTATTTCACCACTCCTTTCAGTATCGGCAGTTGAGCAAGTTCAAGCATTGTCCGGCCAAACATCGAACAACATCGATTTGCTGAGCAAAGCATTGCGCTGAAAGAGAGGGTCTGGACCGTCTGAGATCATCTTGCTCTCGGAAATCTGCGCTCATACAATATCAAAATCATCATCATCAGGGATCTCAACTGCCCATTCCAGCAGATGGAAGAGGCACAGTACAAACCGCAAGATTTCGAGGGGCAAACAAGACAAAGGAATGCATTGAACAGAAGATGATTCTCAGAGGTGTACCACACAGCTGGCCAAGTGTTGCCACTCTGTGCAAGACGCATCACAAATATGATGGTAACTTCAGTCTCCAGATGCTCGTAGTGACAATACATTCCAGGCCTTGACACGGTACGGGAACTTGCTGCCTCGCGTAGAGCATCCGAGCTTTGCAATCCGTCGCGGGGAACCCCGATCTCAAATTACCCTAACCTCACAACGGTGAGGGGCAACCGGCGTTAGCCTCAGAAGCTCTCTATAGTTTGCAGGCGGAACCTTGAGAGTTTGTCTTTTGCCGTTCCCTAGCGCAGCCGAGGCGCGCCAATACTGCAACGTCGAGTCTGCTGCTCTTCTACCACCAGACGGTCTAGGCGTCATCAAATCTGGCAAACTCGTCTAGGTATCTGGATCATCTTGACTGTTCTTACTACGTACAGACTGTTCTCCTACCAGGAAACCAGGGCGCTAACAAGGCTTGCACCGTACCCGCGTCATTTCCTTCGCACCCATCAGACTCTGGAGACGAACGCGTGGCCATCATTTGAGAGGTGCGGTAATCTTGTCCAGCCGCACTCTCAGTCTGGTCTCTGAGAGGACATCGATTCTCACTGGCTGTAAACCATCTTATTCGTGCTTTACAGCCTTGTTGTGCCTTTCGTCTGTTCTCAAGTTGAACTCAATTCAATACTATAATGCAGTAGCATGACGCCTGTACGGAGTACCATTTCTAGATTTGAAGCAACGTACGTTATTCGAGGCTCGGTTTCGGGACTCACGCTTGGTCCACGACCGCTTTCGCTCCTCGAGCGCGGGACGCTCCGTCTCTGACTTTGCTGCGCCCTCACTCACTGCATTGACGTTGAGAAAGTCAAATGATATCGATGTCGGGCTAGCTCTTCCAACTACACAAACTGGCGTCGGCGCGTTTGTCTTGCTGAATACGCTCAGTGCGGCAGCGGTTCATTCGAGGGAGGTGTAGCACTAGTCTCCAAGGCAAGGTGATCGTCTCCCGTTTGCTGCAGTATTGCGCCATCAGCAAACCTACTCTTCGCGACGAACCCTCTCTTGGGAATGGTATGGAAGTTGGTTGTACAGGCTATGAAGGAACAACCAATCGACGCTGGTATCAATCAACTCGCGCTGCCAACTCACTGACCCGTGAGAAGGCCCAAAGGCCGGCATGGCAAGTCATGGCACTGCCGCGCCGACCTAGCGACCCCGCTCCACTAGCTTTCGGTTACTTTGTGCTGGCTAGGTTCATCGTTGCTTAGGACCCTCCGTGCATACGATGGAGTTGTCTCACTGTTCCGCAGACTGTCAGCCAGCCTCCAGGCAAGCTGGGCTTCGAAATGGTCTTCGAGGTGCATATGCGGCTGTCAATGTGCATTTGATGACTGCAAGTATCTCAAAGGAAGGCGAAAATTTTCTATATTGTGGGCTTCAAGGTTGGATTTGGGAGCTGCTAGAAGAATTGAGAGGGGCAAGCAAGGCTCCCTAATTCGGATAGTGTTGCGAACTTACCCACAACCCGACTAACCCCGGTCACCTCGATAGACTAGTCGACTTAATGTTACTGAGGCTCTATCGGAGGAATCCCACGAACTGGCCTGCCATCCGCACCTTTGCTCGGCCACGACGTCCGTATGGACAGGGTTCCCTGCAGCAAACAGGTGAGTGGTCGACGCGAGTCCCGCCCATCTTCCAGGACTCCAACTGGCAAGCGGGCTAGTTATCCGGGGTATCCTTCGTGATAATGGGACGATTGAGGAGGGCATCGCGCATTCTTGGGAGCGGCCCAAGGCAATCGGCGAGCTGGGGATCGTCCCCTCGGCAAGCATGGTCCACAATGGCTTCAGCAAAGTTCGTTGACATAAAGACGAGGTCAAGGTCCCCTCCTGTTGCGAGCCCAGCAAGGCGATCCTCTAAATAGCGCCTATCCGCAGCTTCAGGCTCAGTCGCCTTCTTCTGCCACGCCCACCTCTCTTCACCTCATCTCAGGTCTCCTAGTCTATCGTTAGTTGAGCTCTCTCAACCTCAACATCACCATGAGAGCCCAAAGCATCATCAACAATGTCTTGAGGGCTGTGGCCACCGCCTCCAGTCTAGTTGCTGCCAAGCCGGTCCTCCCTCGCTGGACTGTTGGACAGTCGGTGACGACTTCCAGCGGCCCCGTTGCAGGACATGTTGCTGCTGGCGTCGAACAGGCAAGTATACATGCGTTGGACATAATGGGCCTCGACTAACAAAGAGATGTCTTAGGTATCCGAATATTTGGGCATTCCGTACGCTCAGCCGCCGGTTGGGCCCTTGCGCTTCCAGCCTCCAGTCAAGTTTACCGGTGCTTCTCCTATCAATGGCTCAGACTTTGTAAGCCTTCCCCGAAAACTTGGAAATATTACTTGAAAGGGTCAAAATTGATATCTCGTCAACGTTATACTGATGCATTCCAATAGGGACACCAATGCATGCAGCCGGCGAACGCTCCTACTAGTCTGGAAGCTATCTTGAAGCTCGGTATTCCCGCTTCGGCTGTTGAAGTGACCAAAGCGTTGGGTGACACGGGCTCTCAGAGCGAAGATTGCTTGACCTTGAATGTGTGGACCAAGCCACAAACCGGCGATTCGAAAAAGGCTGTCATGGTCTGGGTTCACGGGGGTGCTTTCACCACAGGTACGAGTGGCTTCGTCTGAACAAACCAAGAAAGCATGCACGGTGTACTGACTCGGGTTGCAGGAAGTTCCCGTATCCCAGCGTACAACGGAAAGTTCATCGCAGACCAGAATGACGTGGTGGTCGTGTCCATGAGGTGAGTAGTCAACGGAGGCTCGGGGAGCCAGGTATCGTCAATGCTAACTCGGGTCAACCTTGAAGCTACCGCCTCAACCTCTTCGGATTTCCAGGCAACCCGGTCACCGCCCCGAATCTTGGATTCCTCGACATTCGCCTGGCAATGGAATGGGTCCGCGATAATGTGGAGAAATTTGGCGGCGACGTCAACAGAATCACCATCTTTGGGCAATCTGCCGGGGGTTCCTTGGTCGACTACTACTCTTACGCATACGCGTCCGACCCCATCGCCAGCGGTTTCATCCCCATGAGTGGCACGGCTACTGGATTCGGTATCTTCACCAACCAAACTGTGAACGCGAAATGGTTCAACGTCACGTCAGCGGTCGGCTGCGGTAACAACTTGACCGACCCCAAGGTGGTCTCTGACTGCATGCTCAGCAAGCCCGCCACGGATCTTCTCACCGGCCTTTCTTCGCAAGATGCCGGTATCGCTTCCGCTGGAGGTCTCTCTTTTGCTCCTGTGGTAGACGATCGTCTTATTTTTGCCGACTACAGCATCCGCGACTCGGCCAACGCAGGGTATCTCATCGGCAACACTGAAAACGAGGCTGGGCTCTTCAAGATCGGAGCACCTGACCTCAATGAGACATATTGGTTCGGTTTCAACCTTGTCGCTTTCAGTTGTCCCGCTGCCAGAAGAGCCGCGCGGGCCGTCTCCGCGGGCCATCCGACATGGCGATACCGTTATTTCGGCGACTTCCCTAATCTTGCTCTTACAACGACGCCGCCCAGTGGAGCATGGCACGCATCCGAGGTTCGTCATACTTTCTTTTTCCGTCAATACTCTTGGCTTGAGACATATTAGCTGACATCGCTTAATTAGCTCCCTGTTCTCTTTGACACCGTGCCACAGGCGGCAATCAACAGCACAGCGCAGGAGGTTGCCGTGGGCAAGTACATGCGTGGTGCGTGGGCAGCCTTCGCAAAGGACCCAGTGTCTGGTCTCCTCAACTACAACTGCCACGGCACGTGGCCGAACTACCAGGCCGACGGTAACACTCTGAACCGAATTTCATTCCAAAACCAGACAGGTGCCGATTTGGCTCAGGGCGACGCTTATGATGGCTTCTGCGCGCAAGTAGGAGTCCCCGTTGCTTGAGGACTCTGAAAGACGCTCTCTACAGGAAGCACGAAAAGTAATGAACTCATATGAAGCCACAATTTCCCACCATTTACAAGATACCATTTTTAATATACCCAAAAGTATTTTCTTCTCTAATGTATCGCATCAAATGACTCTTACTGGACCATGTTGCGCGTCCCATTGACCTCGCAAAGCCGCTTTCGGATTCCTGAGAAATCTCACCCTCATGCGTAAAGCATTGGCGATACAATGATGATGTTGCAACCATAAGCAGTCTCCTTTTACTCATCAAACTGTAAGTTGGCTCTCGTAAATCTGATCTGGTTTCAGATTCCTCGAGCGATCTTCAAGATCCCCATAACCCGTCGCCAAGAGTGATATTTCAATTCGGACCTGCAGGGCGCCCTGGGATATGACGAGTTAGTGAACCCCGCTGGAAATGAAGCGGGCAGGGGCGGTGGTTAGGGGTAGCAACCACTGAAGGGGTACGTACATGCCCTGATTCCTGAGGACAAAAGGCCCGAAAAGCTGGCTGTGCACGCTCCAAACTCTAATTGGACTTCTTGTACGACTCCCGTCCCGAACATCATCTCTTTTATTATCCGTCTCAACTCCCATCCATCCTCTCTACAACCATCATCCCGGGTTTCCATCACTTTTGATTCCAAAAACAACTCCTCGAGGCATTTGAATTTATTCAAAAGGCAAAATACGAATACCGAACCGAAGCCCCGGAAAGTCTCCCCGTTATCGGCAGAACAGGCAACGAGCCCATGTTCCTCGCTACCGGCTCCTCTGCTCAGCCTGCTTGAGTTGCTGCAACAATGCGGCCACCGGCTGCATCTTATCGCTCTCTTCAGCTGCCGAGTCGCTGCCGCTAGCCACCGCCTCTCACGTGTTCATCATGTCCGGTTCCCTGCCGACGAGGTACCTCGCCGACCTGACGCCGTCCGTTCGCTCCATCGACGGTTCGCAATGCAGTTAGCCCCTTCGACTGCAGTCCGTATGTCTCCGACGATCGTTGGCTCCTACGTTGCCGCAATTGAACCCCTCATTTGCCTGACGTGGCATGATTTCGACCATACCTTTCACCGGAAATGTTTGTGGTCGGGCGAGCGAGTTAAGGGGACGCGGAGGCAGTTGGAACGATCGGCCAATGCCGACTGATGTCGTCTTGGGTGACTTTGCCCGATCGAGTACCGTCAACGATTCCGATGCTTTGAACTGTTCACCATCGGGTCAATTGAGGAGATTGACTGGGTGATTGTGAGTACTTACGGTGCTTCTCGTTCATGCCGTTAATAGCTGCTTCTCTCGTGCGTAGGAAGGCAACTGGGTTGATTGGACACTGAACCAACAGCAAATCTATACTGAAGGAGCCATCCTCGACGGCCTAGGCGTCGCATTGATAATGGTTATCTTACACGGCTTCGAGTGAAGATCTCTTTCGCGCGCAATTGAGTAGTCTCAATCGTGTGCGAACCATCGGCGAGATTCTATGCGGACACGCATGCGCGACACTGCGTACTCCACCGTATGGGATAGAATGACGGACAGCTCCCCAGTTCCACCCCAGATGATGAGATCTTGCGTCTCTCATGGTTTTCTGGGGCGTCCAATGGGCTTATCAAGCCACCACCTCCGCTCTGCATTTGCCATTGGACTCTGCAGAGTGAGGCGGCATCTCTTGAGACATGCGCCCCCTCTTCGACTACTCTCAAAGATGTTGTTCGCAAATGCGCGCAAGATTGTGAGCGTGGGGTCAAGGAGTGGGGTCGTGTAAGCAGCGGTTTCTGAGGGAGATATAACGAGACCGAGTTGCCTTGAAGCCTGGTGTTGTTTTCGCTTGAACATCATCGAACAACGCCAATTCGCAACTGAGCACTCTATTCCTCACTTTCCAATTCACCTGATTATTCCAGGCAGCACAATTTCGACTTCGAGAAAAGAGCAGGATGTTCCAACCCCAGTGTTAGCGTGCACTCTCTTACCCGTACGAGGAAATGCTCGCCGTCTCAAGACCAACCCCCTATACTAGACCTTCCTATCTGAACTCTTTTCATCGATACCACCGCAGATCATCGAAGAAGAAGTCCTTCGTCGATTTCACCTGCTTGCTTTCCCGGTTCAAGGCTTTCCACAATAGCCGGCCGGGCAACTTCTCACCGGACATGCCTAAGAAACACGAAACCCCTTCCTCCAAACCACCCAAGTCCTCAAGCACTCGAGCCAACTCAGACCTTGTAGTGAGACAAGTATCAGTGAGTCCTACCTCCTCGATTCCGCTGATTTGACGACCAGTCACTCACACAGTCAGGGAACACACAGCAACAGACTCTCTTCCCCAACTGAAACCAGTGGGGGAGGAAGTGAGGCCCAGAGCGCCTCTCAGAGGTAGCCCACCTAATTCGTTGAACTTTCCAGCATGTTGACACCTCTGGTAGATCATCACCTCCACCAAACCCTTCATCTCGCAGATCCGAACTCGCAGATCGGCCTGCTCGCACTACCAACGCGGGAACCGGTCGAAATCGGACGAGTCCCACACCAGCCGTCATCGATAACTATCTGGCTTACCGCAAGCAAGCGTTCATCAAGATATTCATGGCGAGAGTCTGCGAATGGCTTGACGACAACGTCTATTACCTTGGGGATGCTCAAGATCAAGACGGGGACTGTCAGCGCGGTTCGAAGGCTTCCAGATCAGGAGGCGTCAATAAGAGAAGGGCTGCGGAAGCGCGTCCTGTAGCTGGTCAGAAGCGGCAACTCAAGGGGCGTGATCAAGACGACGAAGGATCCGGAAGCGACGAGAACAACGAGCAGAAGCCTAATAAAAAGCGCACGAAGACTGACGAGGATGATGACCGTCAAAAGTTTGCATGCCCTTACTACAAGAACGACCCCGTAAGATACAAGAGCCATCGAACCTGCGTTGGTCCTGGTTGGCACGAGATTCACCGGGTTAAGTGAGTGTTTTACCCAGTCAGCCATTAAACACTTTCACTAACACAGTGAAAGGGAGCACCTCTATCGCAAGCATCGCATCTACGCCTGCAACAGGTGTTTTGAGGCCTTCAAGAGCGAAAACTCACTTCACGAGCACCAAAGAGCAGACGTGCCTTGTCCTGTACTTGACAAGAAGAAGCGCAAGCTGGACCCAGGTGCGGGGATGGATCAAGAGACGGAGAAGCACCTCAGAGTGCGTAGGCAACCCGGTAAGCACGACGCCGACAAGCAAGACGATGTCAGCAAGTGGTACGAAGTATATTACACCTTGTTTCCGGGGACGCAAGACATTGGAAGCCCTCCAAGTCCTTGTAAGTTTGAACCTCCAATTAGGATAGAAACCTGAGATGAGAAAAGAGCCCCAGTAATTGACCTTGGTATCAGGGTATGACGCCAGCCCGGACAAGACGAATGCAGGCGACTCCAACTCGAAAGATGTGGAGTTTCTTAAGTACTTGCGGCGTGAATTGCCCCACATGATCCAGCGCGAGCTCGAAAAAGATCTCAATCGTTCATTTGAGAGATATGGAGACGGTCTCATGCACAGCCTCTCGGTCTGGATCCGGAACAGCTCGGCTAGGTGCGCCCAGATCTTTGAGCACATACCCTCACCTGCGCAGGTGGCGGACCTGGATGATCCCGAAACTGCGCGAGGATCTCGGGCGGTGTCGCCGCAGGTGTCACCCGATGCCAACTTGACTGTTGGTATCGATGAAGATACCGGCGCCGGTACCGGTGCCTTCGAGAGCACTCTAGATTTCGATTTTGGTGTTCCCGATATTGACATCTCCAACATCCTGAGCTTTGACTCGCTCAATGTTCCCTCGGACTTTCCGATCTCAGACGACCAGTGCTTTACATATCCCGACTCAGCCTATGGTACCGGCAGCGTTGAAGACGCTTCTGGGACTCGGCGAAGTTACATGTGAGAACAAGTGGAACACCTTGTTTTCATCGGATGCTATGTTTTCTTGGCACTTATACGTTCTCATCTCGTCATCATGGTCATTGAGAGCTGTGGCACTTTGCCACAGCACAGCCAACTTCGAAACCATCGAATCTCACTCTTTACCCACCATTCCTTTCCCGCCATGTCTAGCGGCCACATCTATTTTCTTTTGTGCTTGTTATTTATTGTTATACTTCTGATAGTGTTGTGAATGTGTAGGAAGAGGTTGTACATTTACGATGAACTGGGTGCTTGGGTTCCTTATGTTGGACTGCCATCGAGCTGCTTATTGTCATTATCTCGAGCTATTATCCTTAGTATAGTGGTCTTCCAGACCAAATCCACTCTTTACCATCATTCGTCTTCACTCGTCTTGTGCTCTACGTGCGATGTATCTAAGGGAACCGGATGACGACTTTGTTCTCCAAGTGGTCACTGTAACGACGGTAATACCCCGACGCATCCTCAATGCCGATTTCAGCCGTCACCACAAAGCTCGGCTTAGCGACACCAGATGCGATCAAGTCCAGCAAAGGAGGTGCCCTCAGCAAAGGCAAGACGATACCCCTTCCGACGGACAAGCCCTTCCTCCATAGCGATGCCATGGGGATAGGAATCTCCGCGGGTAGGGTCCCGGCATTGGGCGCTCCCTCGGTGCTGTTTCCGCCGCCGTTGTACACACCGCCAATACCCATGCCTCCGTACACGGAGGTCACGGCAACCATGTTCTCTAGCACGATGCCGTTGTGCGGATCTCCCGTAGCGTTGACGGATTCGAAGCCCACGCAGTCGAGGCTGCGCGTCACGCCAGCGGGCTCACGGCTGAGTATCGCTTCCACGGGGTCTTGTTGGGTGAAGTCGATGGGGATGGCTCCGAACGATTCGGCTTGCTCGAGGCAGCTGGCGATGCGGTCGACGACGTACATCCTGGAGGCGCCGCGGAGTTTGGCGGAGTAGGCGGCTAGGAGGCCGACGGGCCCGGCGCCGAAGATGGCGACTGTGTCGCCGGGTTGGAAGCCTGAGTAGGAGATGACGTGCCAGCCTGTTGTGAAGACATCTGTGATCATGAGGTAGTCAAGTTCGGATGTGGTGTTTGTTGAGGTTAGTGGGATCGGGATGGGGGATGTGTCGGCGTGGGGCACCCTGGCGTACTCGGCTGGTACAGGACGGAAGATTGGGTCAACTTGGGTTGTCTCGTACTTCTGAGGACGACTATCCGTGCGGTCTTCGAACGGACGAATCATACAGAAATAGGGGGGGAAAGGCTGGTATCTTCTGAAAGAAAGCATACCTTGCAGTCCGCCATAGTTTGCGCTCCCAACGCCGAAGGATAAGGGGTGCGAAGGACCCCAGTGCCCGTCGTCGGCGTTGTCTGGGATGATGACATAGTCGCCAACCTCAAGACTCGAGACGGCGTCGCCGACGCTGGAGACGTAGCCGACGGCCTCGTGGCCGAAACCGTAGGGCACGTTGGGCGAGCCGCCGTAGCCGTGGTACATGTGAAGGTCGGAGCCGCAGATGGCGGAGGAGGTGATGCGGCTGACGACGTCTGTCTGGTTGATAATGGTGGGAACGGGCATGTCGATCACGGAGACGTTGTAGGGTTGGCCGAACCAGGCTACAGCACGCATTGTTGGCATTGTTGCGTTTGTTATGTTGAGTGCCATATTTGCGGTTCAACTGAGGTGCTCGGGGGGAAGACGGTGTCTCTGAACTGTATGCGATAGCAGAGAGAAGCTCTGATGAGAACGATTACTGGGGTCAGAGCAAGATATTTTGCTGCTCTTTTCTTCGATAGAGCAGTCGAGGAGAAAGAACAAGAAGTCATTTCTTATATCTCCTTGTTTCTATAGAGTTCGTCACTTCGGGATGATGCATACAGGATATGATGATACGTCTACATCGACATCTCTTTTCGCTATTCCCATGAGTACCGTCATCACAGCGCCATATAGCGCGAGTCTCAGCCCGGCATATCTTTCAAATGCGGCAGGACAGTCATCATGCAAGAGCGGCCTGGTCCGGCTGCAGATAGGCGATGATGACCGTACATACGTGCCGCGTATGCATGCATGCTGATCAGCCGAGGCGTTGATACCGGTGCCCTGATTTCAGCAAAGCCTCCTACTTGGCTTCCCACTACTATCAAGTAGTTTTGTAAGGCTGAAGTTAAAATTACCTGCCTGCAAAAAAGTTCCGGTTACACCCCTGTCAGTTGCTGAGACTGGGTTAAGCATATCTCCTCAGGAACGGCAGTGCGCCGCTTACCCCTAGCTGGACTTCTTCTGTAGCCGCCAATGAGAATGGGAAGAAGTCGGGATGGACCCGGTCTGAATTGGCTGATCACGTATGGGCTTAAGGCTTTAGAATGTCTTTCTAGTCTGTCATCAAGACCTGTTGTACCACTGGCGAGTTACGACGAGAGCCAAGCAGATACCTCATAGCAGGATCTGTTTAACACCCCATTGGATGAAATTGAAAATCTTTGGTAGAGTTTCTAGTCCTGCTCAGGTATTTTACGGATATAGTTTGACTGTAGTTTCCGCGTCGGTCTCTCTTTGATTCGTTTCTGCGAACTTCTAAATGACAGCGAACGGCACTCGGCCAGTGAACCTCTTGGTTCAGACGAGGGCATAGCTCTCTCAAGTAAGACTGCAAGGTCAAATTACTAATTAGGCAAGTGGTTTAAATACAAGGAGATATACAGTCGCAGTCGGACCGAAGTACATCTTCCTTGGATATTCCACAGCAATGCAGTGATGACAATAGGATCATCTGCGCATATTTTGGGGATGCCGATTGTCCGTCTTTTCTCTGCATTCAAAGAGTCTAGCGGTTCGAACTCTACCTTTAACTTTTCCTTTCGAACCAATCGCATCTCCTCAACTGTCGAAGAGTTCTTTCTTTTCTTTCACTCTCTTGGTTCCACCCCTCACACTCTCTATCAACGTCATTCTTGTGTGGAAAGTCCTTCGTCATGAAGCATGCCACGCTCATTATAGGTGTCTTTTGCGGACTCATGGCTCCAAAGCCTACCAAGTTCGACACCTGGTCTGTTGACCAAGAAATTCCGCCACCAGCGGTCGTGTCGTCGGCCACGCTACCCAGGACGTCCCCGATGTTTTCGAGTATCTCGGGATTCCGTTTGCCGCTGCACCTGTAGGTGCCCTGCGTTTTCAGCCTCCTGTTACCTATAATGACTCTGCAGTCATCAATGTCTCAGCATTCGTAAGTCTAGTGGCTATCTTGGTCATTTTTGCCTACCTCAACTTGGGAACGTTGAGTGTCTAACGTGCTGCGAAACAGGGCCCTGGCTGTATGCAACCGCCTGACACAGAGTACCCTCAAAGCGAGGACTGTTTGTCAGTTAATATTTGGACCAAGCCACAAGTCGGCGAGCGGAAGAAAGCCGTCGTTGGCTTCCCCGCTCTTAGCAGGAACTACATGTCGACGAGGTGGTCTAGACTCGGGGCGGCCGTCGGCTGCGGCACTGACACAAGCAATGCCACAGACCCTAAGCTCGTCACGGACTGCATGAGGAACCGGACCAGCGAGAAAATCTTTGGCGCATTCGGGCCCGAGGAGACGGGTGTCGGCTCTACGCCCGCTTTCGGGCCTGGCGTGGACGACATTCTCGTATTTGAGGATTATACTGGTCGTTGAGCTGCCGAGGCTGGGTACCTGATTGACGACAATACCAACGAGGCGGGACTCTTCCGTTCGATGCAGCCGAATAAATCAGACGCGTACTGGAACGACTTCAACTCCAGGTACTACACCTGCGGTACGGCCATCAGGATCAGCCAGACTGCGGACGATGGGATGCTGGCCTGGAGGTGCCGGCATTTCGGAGACTTTCCCAACCTGGCCATCTCTGCCAACCCACCCAGCGGAGCCTATCACGGTGCCGAAGTGAGTGCTTAACCATGCTGCCCGGACTTGTACATCGTGAGGTTAACTATTGTCTTTCCTCTAGCTTCCACCTCTTTTCGGCACGCTGCCTTAGAAGCCGCCCAGCACTGCAGTCGAGCTGGCGACTGCTGAGTTTCTTCGGGGGGCGTGGACGACCTTTGCCAAAGATACTTCATCTGGCTTACTTGGCTACGCTGGTGGATGGCCGATCCATGATCCCGCTCAGCTTACCCTTGCTCAAATTGCGCGTGACAACCAGACGGGAACAAATTTGGGTCTCGGGAGCTCATTTGATGGGATTTGCTTGTCTTTGCCGGCGATTCCTCTTTCCTAGACTTGTTGGTACGGCGTCAAGGTGCTCTGCCTGACAGACAGCATTCCGATATGGCCACTCTTCCATCAAGACTCTTGACATGTAGGCATATAGTCTGACACTTCGATAATGAGTCGAGTCTAATGCTTGTTGAGAACGGCTACATGTTATAGAAAGTGAAAGGGTACGCCTTCGGGGTATTTTAAGGTTAGGGTAAAAGCAAACCCTGTGTTGAGGAGGATAGTCGCTAACGTTAGGCTGCATCCAATCTGTTTAAAAACCAATTGATAATGATAGATAGATATGAGAGGATGTTTTTGTGCACGATCCTGAGGGTGTCTAGTAAACAATGTGTCTTCAGCATAAGCCACGCCCTTCTGGTTTATCCCGCTAGTAGAAGCAACGCGTTGGTCAAAGGGTAGATTACGGTAATTAAGTGCTACTTTCGGTTACTTGAAGCCTAGAGGGCTGTGGACTAATTGGAACTGGCAAAGCTCTGACAGGTCAGTTGATTTGTGACTACATTAACCCACATCACTAAGTACTATACAATATATGCACGAAGCATTATTACTATGCAAAAGCTCGGTATTATGGAGTAATGGTCGATTTGTTGAGTACGCTCTGTGAGTCCCCATTGATGAGTAGACACTAAATGGTCGTCTTGATATGACTGCAGACTTTGATGAGTATACCGCCTAGTAATCTGAGAGCACGAATTGGAATAATGCGATGATGTCTTCAGAGGCTGGTGCTGTATTGTTTTAACGCGAACATCTCGTTTTATAAACCAATGCCATGTGATCATCAAGAGAAAATGTAGCAGCTTGATTTTTGACGATAAGATCCTTATTAAGACATGAAGTCCAGTGAAGAGAGACACACTGTCTCGGTACTACGAAGCTCTTGGGTTCGGATTTTGTTCGGATTTAATAGGCTATATCTAGACCTTTCATGCAATCATTAATGTCACGGTCGATCGCCATGCCATATCAGGACGTCGTTCGCCATGCCAAGTGTGTAAATGGTATTTGATCTAGTTATCATCTATTTGGATAACACTCTTCACCTTCATGTTATATGTAAACTTGAGAAGCAATTGTTTGTTGGCTTTCTTATTTGAGTTGGCATAAAGTCCACCTTGCTCTTTGACGAATTACAACTGGACGTCTTTCTGGTCCGTACGACCCACGGTAGGTAAGGGGCAAATCACAGAGACCAAGCCAGTGTCATTTATTCATTTTATCAACGAGTCTGCTGTAGCGTATGTACATCATTTAGATCTGTCAAACTGTTTACGGAAGCTACTGCACTGCTGTCTGGCCTCGCCGGTTAAGGGATAGCTTAAGGGGCATAAGGAGGGGGACCAAGCAACAAAGGACCAGCTCAGGTATATATAGAGCGCTAGTTGTATACCTCGAGGGAAGGGCAGATTTCAGTAATTTATCTTCTATACCCTAATAGCAGTTGGCCTCTGTGAGCTTCTCCCCTGTGTCATACACCTATTGACAACTGCAGGGACCAAAAAGCACTGAAACTCATAGCCTTAAACCACCCTTCAATGCCGTCCCGTAAGGCCTGTTATCTCTCTTCCTCCCTATATGCCTTTCTCTTTCTAGGAAAATACTGAGGGCCACAAATGTACTTCGCATGCAAGGCTCAACGATGGCAGCAGACAAAAGGAACGTGGAATGTCAGCTGTGCAAAGGGTCAGCTCTATTTACCTGACGGAGAGTCATCTTTGCTGACAGGTTCTGATAATTCACTGGCACATTTAAACCAACAAATGAGACCGCAATTGAGCAAGACTAGCACTGTTTGTCGTTGGATCTGTCTCAACATCTCAAGTAAACGCTAAAATGTGCTACTGTTTACTATTTGGCCTATCTTAATACCTCAACTAAGAGTCACATGCTGTAGCTTACGCCTCCTTGGACCGTTTGCATTTACCACCAACATTACCACCTTGCCGTTGAAGCCGTGGTATACATCTGATGAACTTTTAACCACTACCTAACTTGACTATGGAGAATCTATGCATTTTGATTCACGGCCAAATTCTTGAATGTCTAGATCGCGTGAGCAGCCAACAGAAGCAGCTAGCAGCTTAGCATCGATTTGAAGATCGCCGAGGGGACGTTGGGCTGATCAGATCCTACCCAGCCTCCCAATAACACATCGTCCTGGTGTATAACCCCGCTTCGCGCGGCCTGCTCCGCTCCGCCACACCACCCTCAACTTATAGACCCCGGCGCGATATCCCAGGAAATATCACTGGCCCGGATGGTTGCTCTGCAGGTTGTTCAAGAGTCTTGATTCTATTGGCGGAACTGCAAGAGCCGCCAGTTGCCATGTTAATTTTCACGGCTTGGCTTTTTGGAGAGTGGTTGCGCGTTCGTCAATTCATGCGGCACATCAGGATTTTGTTTGTCTCCTAGGACTAATTCTTCGTGACGATTATTGGAATGCTCCCCCATGATCAAGACATTATCAACCACCGCCTCTTCAGACCGCTGCATATGTCGGCAGTGGTCTGCAGCAACAATGCAAGCGTGTTGTTTGTCTGACGGAGAAAAAAGGAAAGACTCCATTTTCGGCACATGCTGCGCCGCGAGTTGTTCATCAAAATTAATCTTGACCGATAACAAAATTACTCTTGCGCTAAATTCTCAGCTCGCCTACGCGTATGACAAGGCAAGCCACCACGACATGGCTCTTCCCGCCCGGGATGGCTGGCTAGGTGGAGAGATGAACGCTAGGCCCCCCCTCTGTGCAACGATATTCTAGAAGACCGCTCGTCAGCGTTCTCGCTCAAAAAGCCATGTGATCTCTCAATATGTGAAAGGGAGCCCCGAGCGCTTGGCACATCTTTCGAAACCCTAGTCGATCGGTGAAGGCCGTTGTCAGCGATGAAGATTTGAAGCCACAAGACTTTCAGTCCCAAGTAGCTGTCTAGCGCGGCGAGCTTTTCCACGACTGGACGTGAGACCCGTTAGTTACCCCCTTGGGAGGCTAAGGACGCACACTAGAGGGCATAAGCTCTTTTCTCCCCCCAGGTCGGGAGAATTAGCCTGCCCGTTGAAGCCAAGACGCCGATTTCCTAGTATGTTTTGTGTGCCTGGAACTTTGGCAATAGGCCGGCTGCGCTTATCGGGTGATGGCATTTCTTTTGGGGAAGCCATCTCCGGCACTTGCGAGGTCCTCGCCATCGCAGCATCACTGCTCTGTCGTCACTGGGTGATCATAGGGTGACGAGCCACTTTCTCGCCTATCGCCAGACTGTCCAATCCGTGTGCGTGCGGCTCGCTACCAGAAATTGAAGAAGAGGTCATGCGTCGGCCGAGGTAAGCGGTAAGCGGCATCGTATTGCTACGTAATTTGCGGGAAAGGAGCCTCTGGTTCCCTCTTTTGAGTATTTTCGCGTGGCGTCAGAGTTGGTCACCTTTGGCAGTTGGGGGAGACCCGAAGTTCCGCGCGATATCCATCATCTCCGCCGACCAGCCCGTACTCCTGGAATCTCGCGACGGCACAACTTTTCCTAGCACAAGGATCCACACGTATTCCGCTTAAGCCTGGGCCTTTTACTTTTACCCTTGGGCGTTCACATGTGGATCGTGCAAGTTTCGGCGGCCCTCTTGATGTCTCTCCTAACCGACGAAAACTCCTCGATCCTTTTTTGCTTTTAGTTCATTGCGACTCTGTAATACTGTTGCTATCACCCTGTCCTCCTGATTTCTGGGCGCACGTTTGTTATTGAGAGCACGACTCCATCGGTGCTGCAACAGAAGCTTTCTTGAGCTCCGTTACTTTGCAACGTTGAACCTTTCACGATTCAGTCAAATCAGCGGCCAAGCTCCCCTGGAAACGGCCGAGCATCCCGCATCCGAGGAAGGAAGTCCCGCTTTGGGCGGCATGTGGCCATTTCTATATAGACCCATATTGAAATAAAGAGATAATACTACCGCGCGGGCTCACAGCCCAGCAAGGCCTCCGTTGCGGCGTGCGGCGTGCGGTCTGCCGCACCTATACTCATCACACCCGTCGTCGGAGAGAAAAACCAGGACAGAGTGACAGCGACGTATGGAAAAGGAAAGACGCAAGAAACAAAAAGAAAAATAGCACAAAAACGTACGAACAGGAAAACTCCCGACGCTCTTCTCCTCTTTTCCTGAGACTTGCGTTCCCACAAATCCACCGTCGACACATGTCACTGCTCACTACCGCCGTAAATTGTCCGAATCCCCGCCAAGGCCCAACCGTTGGACATTCGGCCGAATCACGAAGCCGGGAACGTGTCACACAACGGCCAACAGAGGGAGCATTGGGACGGAGACAGAGTCCAGTCTGGAAATCACATCGGGATTGCTTTTTTCTTCGGGGAGGTGTTAGAGGGGAGGCGTCACCAAGTGACACCAACGCCCAAAAAGCGGACGTGGCCCTCGGATCAAGTATAGATCATCCATCTACACTGGGACGTCGCCACGGAAGGGGGATTTTCTGATTGGTGTCCCATTGGCGCGGATTCTGGAACGTCCCCAGTGCAGTGTTTAGTGACATTCAAAGTGTCAAAAGATGGGACGGACCTACGGTACACTAACGGGACGGTGACAACCGTGTGCCCGCGATAGGGAGACACAATGGCTGAAGCGAACAATTCGTGCGACAATGACAGCTCGGGTACCACACGGGACTCGCTAGCAGCGTCGTTACCCGTCAGCCTGAACAAGAACGCCGAATTTCCATTTCTGGAACGACTGGAGCCTTTTGAAAACTTGAAAGAG